GGAATGTAATGGGCTTTATGGCACTTACTTGGGAGTAATTTATCCAGCAGAGTGACTATAGATACTTGTTTTAATAAGAATATGCTTTATGGTAAGTGGGGACTGCTATTTAATTAGCCAAAGGGAAAGTAGTTCATGATACAATCTGTTCCAATCATCTTGGACATTAAACAAAAAGTCAGGCTAAGTTATTTATGTACATGCACTTTATTTGTAGTTGCTTTAAGCAAACCTCTTCTCTGAAACTTTATAGCATTTTCTGAGTGAGTTGAATTGGGGGAGGAATAGGGGAAGAAGAGGACATGAGAGCATCCTATAAAATTTTTGAAAAAGAAACAGAAGGTTTACTTATTGCTATCAAGGTTGTGAATACAGGCGTACCAAATGGAAAATAGGCAGAGAACTATGATTTATCCTCTGCTATTTGATAGTTTGCATCTTTAGTGCTTAGCTGGTAGAAGAATGTTACAGGATATTGTAAGACATTAAGGGAGTGTGTGTGCGTGTGTGCTTGTGTGTGTGGATTTCCATTGCTTTTAGCAGGAGCATGATTTGAAGACTCACAACTATAGTTCTATTTATTGTGAATAAATATAGAAATTTGAGAAGTTCAATCAAGATTCAATCATTTTTATTCTTAGAGTAAAATTAAGCATGTGGACACATTTTAAGCTATCTTTCCTTCCTAATAAAACTACAATGACGCTATAATAGAGGTAAGTATCCATTTCTAATTAGCCAACATTTGCAGCTAATGATTGATTATTCTAAGGCTTGCCATAAATGTGTTTATGGACAGATTAAAAAAAAATAAAGGAAACAAAATAGCAGACTATTTTTTCTATAGCATCACTTCCTAAGTGACGGTTTGCTTTGCTCAGGAGTTATATGCTTGTCCTCCCTTCCTAGATAGGAACTTCTCAGAGTCGCCTCCTATCAGCGCTAAGAGCTGAGGAGTGGGATCTAAAGATAAACATGGCTCCCCTATATCTTATTCTCATGGCCTAGGGAACCCTTCCTTAAACAGAAGAGTCTATTTCCCTTTGTGCCCTCTCCATATTACAGTGCAATGGAAAGGATTGTGTGAGCTAATATTTGTGAGTGCCCTTTGTAAATCAAATGTTCCTTGTAAGTTAATGCTTGCTTATAAAACTTTGTAAGCACAGAGTCTTCTTCAAGGTCAAAGGTAAGTGGGGTCTGGGTCTTCTGTGCATGAACTTCCTGAATGGTAAGTAACATCCCGCTGCTATTTCCTATACCTCTATTATTTTGCATGTAGTACATATGTTGCTCTTTTCAAACTCAAACTAAAGGCTGTGAGTCACACTTTCTGTCTCTGTCTCTAACATCTCAGTAACAAAAGCACTGTTTTCTCAAGAATGACTTATCTCTCAGCAGTGGCACAAAAACCTGCCTGGACTAGAGTCAAAGGAAAGTGCTATGGTAGAAACACTCTGAATTGCCATCCAATAATTTTCATATAATTTTTATTTTACACTTTGTTTTTCATTGCCCTCTCCCTTCTGCTTGCCTGGGGGACATCTTCAAGCTGCCTTAACAAAAGCCCCAAGGATAGTAACATATAAGTCATATCCTAGACAGCGTAGGGAGGTTATGAAATACTTAGATTTGTTACTGGTTTAACAATTGACTGTCACACAATTCCAGTCATCAGAAAACACAGGGTACATTTATTCCAAGAAGTGAGATCTTGACTTAGCCTGTGCATCGTAGTTTTAATGTAAGAAGACAGAAAAGGAAATGCTAAAGATCTAACTTTTCTTTCAATTTTGTGATCTCACACATCGCTGTGTCTTGGAAACTTTTCTGACATGAAACAATGTGCAGAGTGAATTAACCCTTCCTCCTCCTCCTGAAGATGTGCAAAGAGCTGGTGCACGCAATCCCCTTGGCTGTAGGGAAGTGAATGTAGACTGATGTTAAACAAATAAAGGCCAGTATCAGGAACTCAGAAAATACTACATATACAAAGTGATAAAGGGCTTCACACAGATCGTAATTATTTTAGGCCTTAAGTGTCAAAGTTTGGGGTATTAGAGCCAATAATTCTTTTGGTCCTTTTGCTAGAGTTTTCTTAGCACAGTGTTATATAATTGTGATCAATCTTGATCACTGTAAAACTATTGCTCCTTAATTTTTCTTGGTTTTATTTTAATTCACCTGCAAAAGTCATGTTTTTAATCTTATCTTGAAAAAGCAGCAAAATGTCATTTTTTTCTTAACCCATGTTTGCAACTTGTTGATACCACTGTGAGCTGAGGGCAGGAATATAAGTGAGTGCCAGCTCAGCTTTTATTTACCAGAGTACTCTTCCAGCAGGCACACAGTGTTCAAGGCTTTTGACTATTTAATAGGCATGTTGGATACAAGTTAAGAACTAAATGTAGATGCCTGATTCATCAAGTGACCCTTATGAAATGAGTCTGAATGGCAAAGTGGTAAGTAGAATAAATTAAGTATACTGCCCCTATCCTCCCATACTGTGCCACCCGTGCTGACCTTGAGACCAAAAAAAGTCAAGGTCATCTTCATCTTACGACATGGGAGTTATGCAATCAATCTGTTGATGGAATTGAACAAAAATTATTAAAGACTGGGCAGACATAAACATAACAGGAATAAATTAGATGAACTGATTTGTCTTTTATTATTAACTTTGTAATGCTAGAAGTTCTGAAATCCTCAGAGACCAAGTGAGTAAGGTAGATATGTATCTTATAGCAGGATTTATGCTTATCTTTACCAAAAAAGTATTGTATGGTTCACTTTTCTCTTAACAGACTACGAGTTCCTTGGGAATAGATCTCATGTGCACTAAATCCTAGTTGTTCTTCCCACCTTACCATGGTCACTTTATACCTCAGATGATAATCTTTGCTATATAAATAAGCTTACAGAAAAAAAAATTGTTGTAATTATTCTCAAGATAAAGTTTAGCCTGAAATTTCTACATTAAGATGATTAGCTTCCATGTACCCAAGTGTCTTAAAAATAATTGATGTCCTATGCCAGCTGGTGACCTTCTATTCTTACTGTTTTAAGACCCTTCTTATAGACTTCCTAAATTTTTTTAAAGGGAAAGAATATAAGTTATGATAATTTAAAATACTGGTGATCCTACTTACATTATTATTCACAACCATAACCAAATTCTATATTTTTTTTGAGAGAGAGAGATTTTTGCCATAGGTCACGTGCACTCAGCAGAGAGAGACAGAAAACAAGAAATCACCCCCCCAACACACACACACACACACACACACAGGGACGATCGACATGCCAGAATCCCTTCTCCTCCATTTTCCTCTAAGAATTTTGGGCACACATGCATATGTGCCCAGAGTGAGCTTTAAGCCACTAAAATCTGGGATTTGAACCATGGTTGACTACATGGGTGTCCAGTGACGTACTCTTTATGCCATCTGCTGATCCCCATAACCAAATTCTCAAGATTATTTGTTAATAGTTTTACACACACTTACATACATATGTGTATGTGTATATATAACACGAACTCTGCTCTAATTGGCTTGGAAAACATTTTCTGTTTCTTGTTTTGGGATGGTAACCAAAACAAGTAATTAATTCATATGAGAAGTTGTTAAAAACAAGCTTTAAAAACCTTAATTCCCTTCAAACCATTCTTGTAGTCATTACTTTCTCTCACATGAGACATGGAAAGTAGACAGGACAAATGGTTTCACCTCCTTTTTTAAGAGAAAACTGAGGTTCACTTAGCCCTCATCAAATTCACAGTGGGCATTAGCTATTCCTGACCTGTAGAAGTTGCTGGCCCTACAAAGTCGAACATGATTTCCCATCAAATAACTCACAGCTTTGTTGAGGAAGCATTGCCCTTTGACTCAGGTAACTTAGGCCCTTGCACTATGCACTGAGATTCAGAGGACCCTACCTGGCCCTCCTCTGACTGTGCTTCTCTTCATGCAGCAGAAAATTCTATGGGGCCAAGAAGATGTGCTTATCTGGATTTGAGCAGCCTAGTTCCACATGCCTCATCCTGCCTCTAGACCACATGCCAGGTAGCCAAGACTCAAAATTCTCTACCCAGTAGGGAAGCCCTACCTCCTGGGCTTATGAAGTGCCTCTTCCAAGGCTCACCCTTCACAAGACACCATTCACCATACTTAGGGTGAGAAAAAGTGGTGGAGAGTTCCAGGCAACAGGGACAAACTTGAGAAGGGGAGACTAAGAAGTCAGCTGATACGAGGTTACCTGTAGTGAGAGGTATGATGGGCGGTGAACACAGAATGCTAGGGAAAAGGTCTGTTTTGGTATGGAAGGAACACAACCTGCTTGAGAAAACCAAACCCTGAATACTTTTAAAGAACAATAGAATGTATTTTACATAAAAAAAAAAAAAGGCTATGGAAAGACTGAGGGTCACTTAACCTAGGAAGTGAAGATGGGAGAAAATGCTATCAAAGGTTCTTGGAAAATAAGTTGAATCTTGGAGGTTGAGTCAGAATTACGTAAAGGAAGGAGGGTATTTTTTTAAAGGCAAAGACAGAGGGATAAGATTACTTGGAGAATTCGTGGAAATGCAAGTTCTGTGTGACTAAAGAAATGAAAAAGGGGCAGACAATAATGAAAAGGGAGAAAAGGACAATTATTGATGTTTCCCACCATTTGCTCTGCCTTTTTAATGGCAATATGAACTTGGTTTTATTGATATTTAGAGAAAACCACCTCTCTCCATTGGCTATTACAGGATGGAACTAATTGGGTTCCCTGCTTTCTGTTAGCAGAAAGAGTAGCAAAAAAGACTGAAAATCTCTGAGGCCCTTGTGATCCTAGAAGCATCCTTATGTGAAAGAGTCAAGTAGCTCCTGACTGTCGGTTTTCCTGGCAGAGCCCCATTCCTCCCAGCACTGGGTGTGGCTCTGTAGACTTCTCTGACATGTCGGCATCACACATCTTTCCAACAAATGTGATCTTCGGTTAAGTAAAACATAGTCAATGTCAATTGATTAAAACAAAGCTCTCTAGCTGATATTAGAGGAAAGCAAATTCCTGATTACCACAGGAACTTGCTCATTTTGAAGGCATTAAGGAATTGTAATAAAAATAGTATCATGAATAGAATGGCTAAGTGACTTGCCACAATGCTGGATATTCTATCTTATCAATGTATAAGGATCTGGAATTCTCCAGAGAAGAAATATGTTGAACAACTGAGCTCAGTAAGACAGGAAAAAAAAAAAAAGATACGTCTTATTATTCTCCCTGTTACTGTTAAGTAAATGTAGCTTTCCAAATGACTTAATTTTGCTCCTGAATGAATGAATATTGAGTTCATAGCACTCTTGATACTTTACCTTTCTTATATATGGAACACAAGGTAGCTGTTACTTAGATTAAGATGTTTAGAAATACCTAGTAGTGCTGTGTTTGTTTTCTTCTTTGTGGTTTTCAGATACTTTTGTAATGTTCCATGCATGGATATTAAGGATAAATTCTTTTTTTTTTTTTTTGGATAGGTTTTCACTATAGGGCGCGTGCACTCACCAGACAGACAGAGACATAGAGATAGAAAACGAGAAATCACCCCCCAGGGGGGATGGTCATGCCTCAATCCCTTCTCCTCCATTCTCCTCTCAGGATCTTGGGCACGCATGCACACGCGCCTTGTGTGAGTTTTAAGCCACCGGGTCCAGGAAGTGAACTGCAGTCGACTATGTGGGAGTCCAGCGACATAGCCATTACACTAACGGCTGGTTCCCTAGGATAAATTCTTTTAGAATGAGTTAAGTGAGACTAAACCTGTTCATTCTGAAAGTATGCATTTAGTATGATTCATCTGGCCACCATAACCAAAAAATTAGCTTTATGTGTTTCAAAGGAGAAAAAGGATTGTGATATGTTTAGTTTTAGAATTAATTTACTCATTCATTGGTAACTATCTATTAAGATATCTTAAAGCATGGTGCTATACTAGACACATTTTATGATGACTCATTCTATTAAGGAGTTCTTAAACATCCAGTGACTGACAAAACAATTGTATGCTCTACAATGTTTTGCAATAAGTCTAGCAGTTCTATGATTAGTCTTTTTGGATAAAATCTATTCAGGCCCTTGAAAATATAAATATTTCAATGATCTGTCAAGTCCAGGAGCTCCTGTGTGATTAATGCATGTGGATATATGTGTGTCTCTTTGCTTTTGTAAGTTGGGGGTGCATGAGATAAAAATGAGCCCTCTACCCCCTTATGACTTTATTAGCTATTGTACTCTGAAGACAACAAACCTACATGTTTTGGAACTTACAGTTTCCTGGAGCATTTCCACAAACAGTTTTGACGTAGTACAGAATACTTGATCAACTGTCACCCAAGGCAATTTGAAGGAAATACAGGAAATGCAGGATCTATTCTGAACCTTGAAAATGCAAGGTCTTCTCTTTTGCCATGATGAAGAAAAATAAGCCTTTCTTATATAGAGAAGATCTATGGAACACTGAGGTTAAAATTCCAAGTTCTGTATTACAAGGATTTCTGGACATCATCACAAAGCTGTGAAGCCATATTTGCAGTTCTTTGCAAAGCTTGCCAGAAGACAACTTTAGTAAGAATTGTAATTTTATGATCATAGACATTACACCTGACACAATCTTCTGGTTAAAAATCAATTGGAAAGATACAAGGACTCAATTAGGAAAGCAATGACGAATAAGCAGCATTCCAGAAATCCTCATTTTATGATACTTTGACATTTATAGCTATGTGACTTTTAGGAAGTTACCTAATCTTATTCAGCCTCAGCCATCTCATCTTTAAACAGAGCTAAGAATACCTACTTCTTAAGATTACTTGGAGCATTTCATGAGATAACATATATAAAGTGCAAAATGAAATTCCTGGCATACACTGGGAGTTGAATAGATGCTGGTGCTTTCTGCTCTTGTTAGTGCCTCAGATGATTTACTCCCAGGAGAAGATATGGCTTTAAAAAAAGAAGAAAAAAACCCAGAATTTATTTGACCAATAATAGGAATAAAACAGCTATCTGTTATTGAAGACCTACTAGGTTCCAGTTTAATAATGTATTATTACTCTATTTAATAATTACATGAAGTAAATCTTATCTCCATTTTTCAGATGAAGAAATTAAAACTCAGAGAGGTTAGATGACTTGACCAGGGACATAGAGCTAATAAGTGATTCTAGGTCTTATTCCAAAGCCTTTACTTTTTCTATTTGTTCACACATATGAGTCAGTAAATTATGATTTAGATGAATAACTAAAAGAGTGGAGACTACATTAAAAGTGCTTAAGCATTAGCAATGTCTTAATACTGTTTGGGCACTCTTTCTTATACTTTTGAACTCTATTAATAATTAATATTTTATTTCTTAATTTAAAAAATACCTTGATTAAAAATTAACTCAAAACTGATATTTACAAACATACCACTGGAATTTTTTTAAGGAATGAATTTCCACATACTATTTCATTTACTAATGCACTTCTATTTCTCATACAAGCACAGCGAATTGCAGGGCTTTCTGGTCAACTGGGAGCAAGCAGCTGGAGGGATGGAAGCTAGTATTTATACCTTAATTCCCTGGGTTGGAGTGTTAACCCAGAAAGATCTCATATGAATGTCATTTGGCTTCAGGGCTCAGTTGTACCAGCACTCTAAGTTAATTTCACCACTTGATAAAGAGTCAAGAATGTCTTATCACAGGTCCTTCCACAGGGATTTGTCTTCCACTTCATACTTACTGTGAGTAGGCTTGATAGATTTTTGTCAATGGTTATGATCCACTGTATTTATATTTTATTGTCAATAACTGTATATGTGAATATATTCATGGGTGCCTAACCTGTGCCAAATGGAAAAGGCTGTAGGTTTATTTTCCCAAGTGATTTTTCTGGAAAGCTATTTTTTTTACACATTAGAGTCATTAAGGAGATTAGTAAGTATAAGATTCTTCTTTCCTCTTCTTATTTTCTGTTTCTACATGCTCTTTTAGAGTCAATACCATGATGTGAATGGATACCTTCTGCCATCTTAGCCCACTCTCCACATTTAACTTTATTGTCATAACTTACCCTTTTCCCTTCTTTTATTTTATTTATTTTTTTTGAGAGGTTTTTGCTATAGGGCACGTGCACTCGCCAGACAGACAGAGAAAGACAGAGAGACAGAAAGCAGGACATCACCCCCTAGGGAGGGTGGCCACGCCGCAATCCCTTCTCCTCCATTCTCCTCTCGGGATCTTGGGCACGCACGCACACACGCCTGGTGTGAGTTTAAGCCACCAGGTCTGGGACTCGAACCGTGGTTGACTACATGGGAGTCCAGCGACATAGCCATTACGCTAACTGCTGGTCCCCCTTCTTTTATTTTTTAAGAGAGATTTTTGCTACAGGGTACATGTGCTTGCTGGAGAGACAGAAAGAGACAGAAAGACAGAAAGCAAGAAATCAACCCCAGAGGGGATGGCCATGCCACAATTTCTTCTCCATTTTCGTCTTCAGACTTTGGGCACATATGCACATGTACCAGGCATGAGTTTCAAGCCACTGTGTCTGGGACTCAAACCACGGTCGACTACGTGAGAATTCAGTGACTTACACCATCTGCTTGTCCTCATCTTCCCTTCTTAAAACTCTTTCTGAAATAAGTTATGAATACAAATAAAATATCAGTAGAAAAACACATCAATTATTGCTTTTTAAAGACTTTATATAAGGTTAGAATTGTCTTTGTGGGAAAGAGGAGATGATATTATTTTTTATCATTTTAATCCCATGCTGATTGATGGTTTTTCTGTGGGTAAAATTAAAATATACTCTTTCAAATCTTTATCAAAAAAATATATATTTCTTTTTTTGTTAACAATAGGGATTTTATGGCATATACCCAACTCTTCCAAGAGTCAGACCAATGGGTAGATTATTTTTGCTTAAATATACAATTCTCCTGACCATTATTCACTAACACTTGCTTATAATTATAAATTCCATGATATCATATTCTTCGAAAATTTATGAAAAAAAATCTGAACAAACATTTTGTGTTTTCAGTTGGTTTAGGTATTCCTCAGACTAAGTGAGTAAGATGATTTTTCTAAAAAAATATAACACACTAAGCTAAAAAAAATGGAATATTGTAGTGTACATTAGAGTTTCCTTTAATCCCTGAGGTAATCACTATTCTGAGCCTGATGTGTATTCTTCTAATTTTTCTCATTGCTCACTAATACCATTGATTGTTGTGCATTTTTGACTAAAAGCACAAGTGTGATTATGGTCATGTTGATTTTCAGGTATTACTTTTAGAATTGGTCTCACTACTTTTAAGCCACATCTTCTATAATTCATTTTTGTGATTCTGTTTAGTATTTCCCCAGGCCATGCAATACTTAAAAAGAAACACACAACAGGGGAATGACTCCTGAGGCAATACTTGGATGACCAGAATTCTACAATCACTTATTAAATTGCCCTCCTAAATCCTTAGCGGATTTAGTAAAATGGAATTTCAAAGAACTTTACAATGTATTGAATACCATTTTACTTAAAAGAAAACTGAAGTTGAGAAAATTGGATGTACTGAGTTTCCTAAGAGAAGCCTCCTTTTTCTTCTACCTCCCTTCTCTCCCCCTTCTCTTAATATCTTGCAGAGCAAGGCAAGAAGAGTCAAGCTTAGAACTAAAGGAGTCATCCAAACCTTTGTTCTTGCTTACTTGACTTTAGCCACTAGACTCTTTTATGATGCTGCTTGGTCAGAGAGTTATTATTAGGATTTATAAGCAGTCCCATGATAGACTTAGGGTTTTTAGGTGTTTATAACTGTCATAAAAATTTAGTGTGGCATGCAAGGTCTCAACCTGGCAGTAAATTTTGTAATAATATCTCTCCATATTGTAAGAAAGTTTGCCCATCCTTAAGGGGTTGGGAAAAGGGTGGAACAGGACAAGAATTTCATTGTATTAGAAAAATTTACACACTAGAAGGAATAAGTTACCTTATTTTGTGCAAAGTGCAAATATCATGAGGAACAGTGTACTGCATTTACCAGCTGGTTCACTTCAACAAGTTATTTAACCTCTCTGGCCTGAAATTCCTTCTTAGCACAATGGGGATAATAGTAATCACCTTAAATGGCTTGTTGAAGGATTAAATGAGTCAATATGTGGAAAACACTTAGAATAGTGCATACCACGTTTAAGAATTATGTGTTTGCTATTTAGTGTTTTTTTAGAGGGCTGGCTAAATTATCTGCATTTTTATTAAGACGTTTTCACTGATATTGAAGTGATATTTTTAAGTATCTAAAATAAACATAAAATATAATTACTATAGTTGTTATGCATCATGTCGGAGGTCAGAGAATGATTGTAAGGACACCTCACTTTTATGTATCTGCAAGGCATAGTTTAGGGATAGGGAACAGAAATCTTTGAAATGCCATTCTATTTACAAATAGGAAGGTGAATAAAAATTTGGATTTGGGATTTTGGGTGGGCTAGAGGGCCATATTGGATTGGGAAGGGGTGGCATCATTAGCAAATATTGTGGCTTTGATCTTGGTTAACTTGGGTCACAAATAGATGCTAACTTCAGATCTTTTTTCCCCAAAGTCTTATGGTTTAGAATTAGGTAGATTTGAATCTAAACAAAATCCAGAAGTTTTCTAAAGAACTTTTCCAAAGACAAGAATCGGCTTAGTGGGTAGACAAGGCAATTTCCTGGTAGTCTCGTGGCAATCTGCTTCTTATAAGAAGCTGCCCTGTGATTTCTCTCTCTCTCTCCCTCTCTCTCTCTCTCTCTCTTTCTGTTTATGTGTGTGTATGTGTGTGTTTACAGATGGTCCATTCATTTTATAATGCTATTAGTTGGTAGAGAGAAAGAGAGTTTACATCTACTGAGTACCTATTATGTCTTAGATCTGTTTGGAGAACATTTCTCTTTGGTCTTCACAATAATTTTGAAAGATAAATGTTATTATTACCATTTCAAAGGAGAGAAATCTGAGGTTGAGGTTAAGTTAAGCTTGCAGAGCTAGTGAGAAATGGAACCTAGATTTGAACATATGCCCGACTCTAAGGCTTTTGGATTTTGTTTTAAAGGATTTTGCTCATTATAAAGAATGTACTTCTCAGGAGTGAATAGCTTTAGGAGTTCCTAAATTGCTAAATCATGGAAATAGGCATAGAATACAGGTAGAAGTAGGTAGTGTTAGTTTATGACTCCATTCATTCGTCTCCCTATCATCATCCTTCTTAACCATCCACCTTGATTTCCATCCATTTCTCTACTTCTGTCCTCAGTTCAACAAATCCAAATTCAATATCCCATTAAAACCTGATTGTTTAAGTCTCATTCGTCATGACCAAGCTTGGTAA